CTGGCATGCACATACACATACTCAACACACACAGATGGGAAACTCAGTACAGATCAAAGTATGAAGTTCAACTTGGTGAACCTTGAATTTTACTGGGATCACTTACAGGAATATGGCTGAGGAGCTACTTACAGGAGCAGAAATTACTCAAAAGACAGCTATATCACCAAAGCCTATCCCAGCACGGGCGACAGCTCACAAGGCTGGAAGCCTAGCACACAGCACACAGCCTACAAATAGCTCAACAGGTTGAAGAGTGTCCTTTCCAAGTGTCGCGGCTGGTCTAAACGTCTGGTCTCTGTCTTTGCAGCTCAGTTTACCTAAGAGTTTTCTTTGAATCCCAGTTTCTTTATCCTTATCCTCTCAGCTTTTATTATTAATGGGGAGGGTAGTGAATCTGGTCAGTTTCAGGGACTTCCTGAAGCTATTTTGATTTGTTTACCTTTCTGCTTCAGGAGCCTCCCTGCTGGATAGGATGTTTCAATCTCAGAGGAAACCTTTACAGGACATGAGATTCAGGCCGCCTTTGAATTCCTGACCTGACTTCCTTCAGTGATGAACACTGGAAGTGTAATCCAAATTAACCCTTTCCTCCCCAGCTTGTTTTTATTCATGGTGTTTCATCTCAGTAATAATCACGCTAAGACTACACCATCCTGAATTCTAGTGATGGTATGTTTACTGCTGGCTGCTTTTAGCTAGCTAAGAACTTGAAACGAAAAACCAGACTAGAAAGATTTGGGCGGGGGAGGGGGGTGGCGGATTCAAGACAGGGTTTCTCCGTGGCTTTGGAGGCTATCTGGAACTAGCTCTTGTAGACCAGGCTGGTCTCGAACTCACAGAGATCCCGAGTTTGAGGCTAGCCTGGTCTACAGATGTACAGTACAGGCTCCAAATGTACAGAGAAACCCTGTCTCCAAAAAAAGAGAGAAAGAAAGAAAGAAAGAAAGAAAGAAGGAAGTACTTGTTCTTGTAAAGGTCACAGGTCTAATTCCTAGCACTCACATGGTGGTTCACAACTATCCAAAACTCGAGTACCAGGGGATCAAATACCTTCTTCTCACCTCTGACAGTCTCTTATGACCCCCTAAGGCACCAGGCACTCAAAGTTACACATAAACTCACATACACATTAAAGTAAATTCATCTTAAAAAAAAAAAAAACAATTAGGGCCAGGCAGTGGTGGCTCACGCCTTTAATCTCAGCACTCAGGAAGCAGAGGCAGGCGTATCTCTGTGAGTTCAAGGCCAGCCTGTCTACAGAGCTTGTTCCAGGACAGGCTCCAAAGCTACACACAGAAACCCTGTCTCGAAAAAGAAGAAGAAGAAGAAGAAGAAGAAGAAGAAGAAGAAGAAGAAGAAGAAGAAGAAGAAGAAGAAGAAGAAGAGAAAGAGAAAGAGAGAAGAAAAGAAAAGAAAAGAAAAAGCCAGAGCTCACAGCTTCTTTTATCAGGAAGTGGTCTGTTGTATTGGTCATTAGGCTTTTTGCATTCAAAGGCTAGAGCCCCCAATGCTATAGGGTTGAAGCTTTTATACATTTTTGTCTCCCATGTATGCCTGCCTGCATTTTGATTAGATGTTTTATACTAGGCAGTAATGGCTGGAATGAGAAAAGAGAGCAAAGAGAGGGGCTACAGGAGAAATATGGTTAGTTTGCATGTCCACAAGAGGGCGCTGACCAGCCCACGTGTACATGCATGAACACGAACCAGGCCACAATGCTGTTTTGCAGTTTTCTTCATCTTAGCCTCTGGGAGACTTTTCCTCCCTGTACCGCAGAGGGCAATGTGGAGCCTTAAGCCTTAAGGATAAAGGCTCCAGGATGATGGAGATCGCAAGAACATAGCACATACTATGTCTGCTGAGAAAAGACACAGGTGATGAATGGAGCCAGTGTAAGAAAGACGCTACCTGGGCTGCAAACAATAAGGCCCTGTGAGTAGGGATTACCCAGGACCACTGAAGCGCAGATCAAATCAGCACAGTGTGCTGCCCATGATGCTACAAGACTTATTCTTTTTCTTGTTAGGGTATAACCTCACTCTGGTTCACTGTTCCAGTGCTGTCCCAACAACTCCGAGGTAAAGGCAAAAGGATCAGGTGTTCAAAGTCCATCAGCTATACTGAGAGGTGGAGGCCTACCTGGGGTATTTGAGACACTAACAAAAAAAAAAAAAAAAAAAAAAAAAATACTGGGCACATCAGCCATGGCACAAGCCTTTAATCCCATCTGTGGGGAGGCAAGGGCAGGGGATCTTTTAAGTCTGAGACCACTCTGTTTACATAGAGTTCCAGGACAGCACAGTGAAAGCCCATCTAAAATAAATACATATAAATTAAAACCATGACTCTCAAGGATATATGTCAAAAATGTTAAGTGCCTCAAGGAAACCAAAAGGATAGCAAAGGTGGTACCAGGAAGATGAAACAGTGAATCTGAAATAATACAAAAGGTGGGATGTAGGCACCCAGAGCTGTTTAGCTACCTTCCAGGTGATGGAGTGGCAGAACCCATTTGCAACCCATCAGTTTCTTGCAAGTCGGTCTCTACTAGAATAGTGTGTGGACTTCTATCACAGGTAAGGAAAAAAAAAAACTGCTACATTTAAATAGTCAGGAGTGGGGCTGCAGAGATGGCTCAGACGTTAAAGGCTAGGCTCACAACCAAAAATTGTATCAGGTGCCCTAAAATGAGTTTGGTAAATGATAAGAAGAAACTGGAGAGTTCCCAGCCATCTTTCCGTTGTATCGTCAAGTTTTCTATGAATTTTCTCTTAAAACGTCTCCCACAACACCCAACTCTGTCTCTGTCTCTGTGTCTCTGTGTCTGTCTCTCTCTCTCTTTCTCTCTCTCTCTCTTTAGTTCAAATTAGGAACAAGCTTGTCAATCCCTTCTCCCTCTCCCTTCCCCCCAGTGCCCCCAACTCCCCA